TAAAGAACCTCGTAATGAGGGTGAAAGAGGAGAGTGCAAAAAATGGTCTGAAGCTCAACATAAAAAAACCCTAAGATCATAGCCACTGGTCCCATCACCTGCTGGCAAACAGAAGGGGAAGATATGGAGGCATTGACAGATTTTACTTTCTGGGGTTCCATGATCTCTGCAGATGGTGACAGCAGCCACAAAATTAAAATACACCTGCTTCTTGGGAGGAAAGCGAAGACAAACCTATTATGACTTGTCAGAAAGATAAGTAAAGCAAATTAAGTGTGAGCTTTCACTAGAAGCTAAAATAACCAAACAAAGGGTACTGTACTACAGTGGCATCATAAGAAGACAAGCTCACTGGAAAAGGCAGCAATGCAGGAAAAAGTGCACTGCAGTAGGAAAAGAGGAAGACTGTACATGAGATGGATTGACTCAATAAAGAAACTCACAGTCTTTTGTTTAGTGCTGCAGTCAAATTAGGACCAGGAGCAGAAAGACTGGGATTCAGATTTTGGGAATAAACTATGATACTCTTATCTACTTTGGGGATGAGAGATAGAGAAACATGATTCAGACTTCTGCTGTTCTCAGCAGAAACTGCGAGCTAAATGCAGTGGAGATTAAATTTTAAAATGTTCCTTCTTTGATGGTTTTATGAAAGAGTCAAGTCTCTCTGTCTCTCTCTCTCTCACGCGCGCGCACACACACACACACACACACACACAAACAAACCCTTCCTCCCTCAATTTTCAACAATTAGTTTCTTCAGTTCAGTATATCAATTTCCTCTCATTACATTTAAACAAGCTTGATGAAGCCACCCTTTCCCCCCTTAATTCAAGCCTTCCGTCCTTTTTGCCTGTTCCTTTTTTCAGTTTTGTCAGTGTCTCTCTCTCTCTCTCTCTCATACACACACACACACACAGACACACACACACCCTCCCTCAATTTTCTACATACATTTAAACAAGCTGATGAAGCTACCCATCACTCTCTCGCACCTTCCTTCCCTCCTTAACTGGAGCTTTCCCTCCTCCTGCTTGCAGTCACCTCCAGCGGAAGCAGTCATTCCCAAGGTGAATTGACTGCCCAGGAGTGTTCTATAGCTGTAACCAATCAAGCAGCCTTATCTCTGATCTCTAAAAGAATAGAGGATTTACAGTTGCCACAACCAAGGAAGGAGGGAGAAGTGGCTTCCAGTTTGAGGTTCGGCTGCAGGGGGTGGGAGTGGGGGGTAACACTCTGCTCATTTCCCCCATGGTTTTCATTTTTATCCCATTTGGGGTAATTTACCCCTGTTCCCTAACCACTGAACTAGAGCATCATACATTTCCCAACCTTTAATTGGACAGTGTAAATTGCAAGGGTGGATAGCATGGTACCCTCAGGATTTTTGGATTCTCCTCAGCCCTGACCATTGCCAATGGTGGCTTTGGCTTATAGGAGTTTAGTCCAAAATATTTAACAGACACAGCATTGACTGCCCCTCCTGATTGTTAAATTGCAGGAAGGACAAATATTCTGCAGTAGAGTTTTTGAAAGTCACATGTTAATGCACTGAATTGGGAGGGAAGAGGAGTCAGTTTCAGGTGAAATTTCCAGAGATGCCACATTCCACCCAGTTGATATTCAGGTTTGTAATTGGGAAGCCAGGGAGTTGTCAGACTGGAAGGCCTGTTTCATCAACGATTCCATTCCTTCACTCCCTGACAGCCCTTATTTTGAATGTACCCTGTGAAATTTGTGGAGGTGAAATTGAAAACAAAAGTATTTTTGCTGAATTTCTAAACAAAGCTATTTCTCCTGACCGGAGACTCTTATCTTGAGGAAAGTAGCTTACATTTACATTTTTAGCACGTGCATGCTATCAGTTGTGGATATTAGTGTCTGTCTGTGTGTTTGAGAGAGGAACAAGATTTAACAAAGTCTAAATTCTTGCCCTTAGCTACAATTAACGTACCACTGCAACTAATACACCCTGTCTTCCCTGCAGCACACAAAAACCTCAACGTTGTTGTTGTATTCTCTGTGTTTCAATCTGTTGGAAGCAGTTTATATTAAATAACATCTAAATACACTCATAATGTACAATAAAGGAAGGGTAAAACTTAAATATTCAGTTGGTGTTAGAGCACAACTCTGGACTGCTGTGTTTTTTCTGTTTGTATGAAACATAGGAAGGGGAGCTTTTGGAAATGCATGATGATGATGATGATGATGATGATGATTTTAACCATTTAAGAACTGCTGAGAGGCAAACCATAAGCTAGAACAAGACCTGTGACTCACTTTCCCAATTTACCTGTATTTCTTAAAATAATTGGCCTAGTATGTGTGTGATTGATTAGTTGAATCAAGATTGTGGGGTGTATGTTGATGGAGGGTGTCAGTGGGGATAATCCTTTTTGCAAGTTCCCCACAGCAGATTGCAAAAACTAGTAGCTCTTATTAGTGGCAGAGGAGGAAAATAGCACTTGGAATATTTATTTATTTATTTATTTATTTATTTATTTAGTTATTTATTTAACTTACTTATATGCCGCCCATACTACCCAAAGGTCTCTGGGTATTTAGTGTTTTTTTTTGGGGGGGGGGGAGATGATACCTTTCTAAATTCCAAATAGCTATGTTGGCTGGAGAATTATAAGAGCTGTAGATTTTTTAAAAAGAGAGAGTAACTTTTCCATGGCTTAGAAAAAAAAGCATGATCATGTTATTTCAGTATGTTTTCCCTTCCACATTAATAGCCAGAGAATGGCATTGTGTTTTCAGGACTCAAGTCCCCACCCCACAAAGAAAAATGAATAAGGAGATCCAATTATAATATAAATAAAACAAAGAATCAATGGGGAGGTCCAGTCACAAACATTCTGCCCTGCATATGCTTTGGCTCTCCATATAGACAACTGAAATCCTGCCTAGAGTTTAGACCTTCCTCTTTAAAGACACCCTTGCAGTGATGTTCCTCTGAAGCTCCTCCTACCCACCTGAAGCAAAGAGATCCTCTAGTTCTAATGGGAGTCTGGTGTCCTATTTTTCTTTTCAGAGCTGCCCAGAGGCTGGGAGATGGACACGACATCTGAGGGAGCCATATTTTTTATCAAGTAAGTGAGCTGCTGATTTTTGAGATGATGGTTCTGCTTTCTCCAGGTGACATCAGATGTACAAGAAATGGACACAATGAGAGTTTTAAAATTGCAAAATGATTTTTAAATTGCCAAATATTCTTAACCATTAGAAAAGGAGATTTAAGACTGCAAATGTAGGATGCAATTCAAATAGGCAAGTATAATGCAATACAGTAGTTTACTAATAATTTTAGATAAGTTATATTATAGATAAGTTATATTAAGAGTCTGCATGTGTGCGTTTTTAAGAATCATTTAGTTCTCACAGTAGCTACACACTGTGTTGTTGTTGGAATTGAATATACTTTCTTGTTGAAAATGTGTTTGATATAAATTATCTTTGCCAATGTTTGGGGGATAGTTTGTTTGTTTGCTTATGCAAATCATAAAGTATAATTTATATTTAAAGACTAGAAAAATAGTCTTGGCTCACAGTTTCCAAAATCCCCTAGCCAACATGGACATGGATGTTGTAGTTCAAGAAAACAACTTTTCCAAGTTCTGGACTGAATCAGGTGGTGCTTGTGTAGAAGATGGCAGTGATAATATTTACATATCCAGTAACAATTACCATGTCCAGGATTCTCCAGATATTCTTCCCCCAGCTGCCCATTTCTAAGTATAAAATCTCTAGATAACACTAGAGTGTAAAACCATTGCTAAGTGTAAAACCTCTAGATAACACTGTTTAGATCTGAAAGCTGCTAGTGTACAAATCTTGCTTTGGTCGGCTTTCTTGTAGGTGATCAATGTAAAAGGCAGGATCCTGGAGCACATAGACTTTGGTCTGATGCAGCAAGAATCTTACATCCTGAAAAGCTGCTGTAGATAAGATATATCTCATGCTTAAGATGCATCTAAGGAGCAGTAGATAGAGTTTTGAGTGCTTGTATGGTCTGTTAAAGTATGAGTTTCTTTCAACAGGAGATAATTGGTTGGTCCATGTAACTATAGTAGATTTTTTGATTACATAGGTGGCTCACCTTGTGCTGGTCTGGATTCTATGGATGTAGCCTGGCAGGTATAGAGTGGGATGAGCCCTCAATGAGGTGGCAGTCCCAACAGTGCTGGATTCATTGCCATCCCACATCCCAATGCTATCCCACTGCTTATCCTTGGGTCAAATTCACACATCTAGGCTCCTTTGTGCCACCCATGTTTCAGGGTCTTACTGATCATTGTCTTCTAGCCTAGCCATTCTCAACAAGGTCCGTATAGCCCTGGGGGGGGGTGGGGGCTGGCACATTTGAAGGGGGCCACAGACTGGAAACAATTCTTCACCCACTACCTTTTAAGATTTGTTATACGACTTATACCATCCTGATTCAGCCTATATTTCTTTCATGTTGTGTTTATGGCTGTGGCCAAAAATAGACTGAGAATCTCCAAGCACAATTCAAACTCAAATTTACTTCGATTTAAAGCAATATGTGTATTTGTGCATGTGTGTTTGTGTGTATTTATTGATCAGCCTTCTGCAAGTCAGCCTACTGCCAGATTCCCATCAAACCTTTATCTTTCTAATTAACATGCCAGTCCTCACCCTGACCCCATTTTTCTTCACATTCTTGCCTCTGCCCAAAGCCTCCTGCCCCCTTCATTCCAAAAATGTAAGCATTTATATCACTCCACATAAATGTCTGTAAGGAAAGCAAGAATATCCTCCTTTTTTACATCTCTTTAACTATGTGTTAAGTATCCCCCTTTGTGTGGGAGTAGAGGACCTCAAAGTCATGTCTGACTGGGTCCTTGTTTTCACAGTCAATCCCCCAAATCACTCCTTACACAGAGTATGATGTTTGAAACAGTTTGTCTCTTTCTTAGAGAGCTGGTATTCATTTTACAAATGACATATCATGATATAACTGAGCTTAAAATATGTATAACCTATTATATTATATGGAAGCAGCTAGTAGCATTCCTGGTGTGCTTTGTATGATGGATTAGTTACATTTGTGGGAATAGCATCTTAGAGGCATCCCTGGAGGGAACTGGCTCTCTTTCGAGCAAAACGGTTCACAGCGGTTCTGTGGGGCTTTGGCCTACCCTCCAAGGTTGAATGAGATGTTAATAGCTGAATTCCTTTCATCTCACTCCTCTCATCATCAATGAACCTGGATTAGCATTGCCAGGGAGTTACTTAGAAGGCAAATGGCCTTTGAACATTGACTACAAGGCAAGTCAGAGATCAGAGATGATCCCAAGGAGCCCGATTGAACTGGGAAGAAATATTGTCATCTGTTTGTACAGTAAACCCAGATCCATGACAGTGGGCTTTCCACAATAGTTCCAATAGGTGCAGATACCAAATCAGAGTTATTTCTCCCCTTTGAGATAAGAATGATGAGTGTGTGTGTGTTGACTTATTTAAAGGCTGTGCATTTAAAATCACCAGCAAGCACAGAGATAAGATCAGAGGTTTGCAATGGAATTTGGGAGCTTCAGGTTCAGCTCCTGCTGAGTAGTGAAATTCCCTGGAATTGTTTTGGAGGAAAAGCAAGATATTTATTTTATTTTATTTGCTGCCCCATTAGTTCTGAAGCAGTATTCTGACTGGTTTACAAACAGTTAAAACAAACTACACAGAGCAATAAACACTAAATACAGCATGAATTCCAACAACATAGTCTAAGAACTTAACAAGTAAGGGTACAAACCAATTTTGGGAGTGAAACAACACTGGAGGCGAGATATAGCCAATGCATAATAAATAATCAAGCAAACAGTAGGTGTTGCCTTCTATAAATACGTAGGTAGAAAATGTCAATGCCAGTTAAAAATGGTCAGGTGATATAGTTCAGTAACAGCATAGGACAAGGCATCATCCAGGATTTTGACATAAACTTGTATTATTCTTCTTCTTTATTAGTGTTTTTTAATGCCTCGGCCAGAATCCTATTGCTATTCATGTAAGGTTTACCTACTTGCTGTAGCTGTCTGCAGCTAATTGATGAAGTGCCGGGACACATCTTAATCATGTGGCGGTGTGTATGCTTAATTGCAGAACCCAGATGTGTTGCATCACCTCATCAATTAGCCTCAGCAAGGTATGCAAAATTTATCTGGATACCATCACATAAATAGAACAAAACAAACACAATTTGAAAGCAAGAGTTTGAATAGGATCTTCTCTAGCTTTTAGTCCCCATTTTCATCCAACTGTAGGTCCTTGCGTCATCTATTTGGCAGGGACTTTCCTCCCTTCAGCTAGCTGTGTGTGTTGAATGCATCCATGTGCTTTTGTAGTTCATAGCATAATTTATGCTGGTATGCATTTGATCTTTCCAGTGTGAAATTATTTCCCACAAGGTGGTGCCAAAGCTTACAACAAATGCAAAATATCTGGGGCTGTACATGTATATATTTGTTATCTCTCAATGTATCTTGGAACAGGAGACCAATGTGTCCTCTTCCTGAGCAGCTCCAATAGCTCTTGGCTATAATGGATGTCATCATTATCCATCTATGAATGAATACTGACTCAGAGCAGGTACGGCTCCTTAGTTTTACACAAGGCATAACTGGCCTATATATGACTCCTTCTCCAGTGTATGTGGGAACTGGAAAATGCAGCCAACACTTCATAGAAAAGTTCTTATAAGCAGAAGATTCTTACATTTGAATTTGCATCCTAACTCCATGTGGGAACTCCTCCAGCAGCTACAGTCCAGGTGATCGCAGACAACTATTTAATGTGCCTTTGTAGCTGATATCTACAGCAATAACATCTGTATTATTTGGTTAGCTGAACCAGTTCAAAATAGCACCCAAAAATAATTTATCTTTCTCAATACTGTCTCTTTTTGATTTGTAGCAACAAATGTAAAGCTTTCCATGCTGCTTGAGAGAGTCTTATACCTGAAAAAGCATCCGTTCCAATCTCTATCTAGATTTAGTTGGAAGCTGAGGAATTAGTAATAAGGGGCAGCTTCTCTAGTGTTCTGTTCAATTGGAACACTTTTCGAAGGGACCCATGCTCATTTTTAGTTGCACTGAATGGCCAGGCTGGCAGACAGAGTGTTAATTCCAGTGTTTATCTGTGGTGTGGGAGGTGCTTGGCAATGTGGGACACAAGGGAGCAGAGAGCATTCAGTGAAAGCCAATCCATTCCAATCAGCTCCTAAAGCTTTGAGGGGATTAGAGGCTCAAGAGTGGTTATTTTTCTTTCCTGTGACTCCTCCCAACTCTAATCCATCTGTAGCGCCAACAGATTCACCCATTCAGAAAGAGTAGATTGCCGCCAGCTCCACACAGAGCTCACCAGACTCTGAAATATCTCTGCATATGTGGCTTCAACTCTTCTCTGTGTTATTAAACCACCTATTGGATGCTCTGGTGGTGTGAGGCCTCATTTACCCATAAGAGACTGTATATGGGATGACAGCCTCCTCCCACTTCCATTTGACCATTGCCCAGCCCTGGATTTCTAAACACCTAAACCTTCATGTAGCCACCATGCTAGGAATGCAATTATGTCATCAACACAAACTATGCTTCTATGACAATGCCATACCAGATCTGTATCAGCTCCTTCAGAGTCTGCAGGCAAAAAAACCAATAAGTTCCAGCAGCAATGATAACAGAGATGAAAGGGCCTTAGGTCTGGCAAGGAGAAAAAAAAATCCATTGTGTAAGTTCTGCACATAGCCCCTGGGCTTTCTTCTGCCTCTTTCAGATATACGGAACAAGAACTCTTCTTAGCCATTTCAGGCTAGGATAAAAATACCAGTCTCTGCCTGTTCTGTGAAAGAGCATGGAAAATCTCTAGCCATGTCGGCTGGGACAGTCTACTAGTCCAAAAGGTTAATACACAGAATCCTGCTAGGTATGCCCACTAGTATAATACAATCAATGGAAATCTCAGAAGTGAATTGCAGCAAGGTAAGAAGGCAATACAGAGATTCCTGTTGCACAGAAAATTGGGTGGTTTGGTGTTCAACAGCACTTGCCTATGCTGACCTCTTAACGTGCAGTAATTTGCTACCAAGATTT